CCAGATGACAATATCCAGCTTTCCGGAGGAGAAAAGTCTCCGCAATTCACGCCGACTGGAGAAAAGGAATCGATGCAGCGAGGTTCAGATTTGCAGACACAAGACCTACAGTCAGCGGAATCAACGGAGTTCAATGATGTTGAAATGTCCTCTGAAAGTAATGATACAGAACAAACAGTGGAGGAGGGAGAAGCAAATGACAAGAGTGGCGGAACAACGTCCTCAGTGGCTGTATCATCGGATATGGATCCGACCACCGAAACAGTTGACGGTGAGCACCAAGTGCAACAAAGCGTTGAGCTTTCCTCTGAAAACAACGAAGTGCGGTCCACTGGAACCGGAACTACTGGCACGGAGCGAAACCTCAGCCTCGAGGCGAGGGACGGAAATTCCGAGAGAACAATGGGCTCAGACAGCAGCCTCACTCCTTCAAAGAGTGACGCCGAAACCACATCCGCGGAGAACACCGACGACGTCTCTCGGACTGAAGGAGACGAATTTCCCGTTGAAAACGGCGAGGAGGTGCCACAGACAGTCGACACCGCATCGGGCAATGCGAGCACCCTGCCTGGGGAAACCGAGATCTCATCGAAGTCCAACGCAACAGCACCCTCGGACGCTGGCATTTTGCTTGAGAACGGGCATTACAGCGAGTTGGCGGGCATGGCTCTATTTGCTGAGAGCACCGTGCATGGGTTTGTGTCTCGGATGCTGTTGCCGATGCTTCTGGGGCTGTGGGGCACTGCGGCTCTCTGTTGAATGAATTGGGGAGAGAAAAATTGCAGAATTCTGTGGAGCAACAACTGAGCGGCATCCCAGCAATACTCAATGAGTTTTGCCAATGATACTTTCTCTTTTTTATGTTTTTTCTTTTTCTGTTTTTCTTTTTTTCTTTTTTACGTTTCTGTTTTTTGTTTTTGGTGTTTTTCATTTTTTCTGTTTTTTTTTGTTTTTGGTGTTTTTTCTTGCTGGTGCTCTGCTGAAATAATCAGCACCCCTGTTTGTGTGTTTTTCCCCAAAAAAAAACGGTCGCTTGCTGCAAACCGTCATGCGTGACGTGCTTCTCCCTCTTTTGTTTGCTTTTTTTGTCCACACGCGGTGCCGGCCTCATTGCTGTGCGTCCCACGGACTGCACGAAGGGAGGAGTGGAGGAGCAGGCCGGATGCCGCATGGAATGTGAGGGATGTTGTGTGGGCTGGTGGGAGAGTACAATTCCTTTTTATTTTTGTGTGTGTGCGGGCAGTGTGTATAAACCCAAAAGCACGGTTGCATTGTGCTGCGTGGCACATGAAATGACATATATGCCGAGTCAATTGTTTTTCTTTTTTGCTT